CGCAGAAGATTTTGCCACAGTGATGCTGGTCTCTTGTTACTTAAAACTGGTTTTTCAGCCCCAGCTAACAAAGGTTTCACTTCAGTCTGGTCTCTTGTTAATCACAGTTGATTCTTAAGCCCTAACTGACCAGAACCCCCATATGCTCAATTCAGGATATCACACAAACAGCCCTGATAGTCTCCACTTCCCTGAAGCTTCATAAGCCAGGCCTCCATCATCCATAACTCTCAGCATAACTGTTCCAAGCTCCACAGCAACAAACTCTAAGCACTGAATGGCTTTTCCAACCCAAAGTTCCAAATGCTTCTACAGTCCTCCCCAAAACACCAAGATCAGTTCTGTCACAGCCAATACCCATGATCCTGGTATCAATTTCTGTTCTAGTTTGTTTCTCCACTGCTGTGACAAAATACTCTAACTAATAAACCCTTTCCTCTCTAAGTTGTTTATTTGGCTTACATCTCCTGGGTCACAATTTATCAGGGAGCCCAGGGTAGCATTTCAGGGTAGGAACCTGGAGGCAGGACCTGAAGCACAGGCCATGGAGGAACAATGCTTACTGACTTGCTCCTCTGGCCAGTACTCAACTTGCTTTCTTACACAGAATAGGTCCACCTACCCAGGGGGTAGCACCACCCATAGTGGGCTAAGCCCTCTCACATCATTAATCTAGAATATGCCCCAGAGACATAGTCACAGGCCAATCCAATGGAGGCAATTAACTAATTGAGGCTCCCTCTACCTGGGTGTATCAAGTTGACAACTAAAGCTATGTAGCACGCTAATACATTAAAAGTAAAAGTGCTAGAAAATAACCTATAGGTAGTGGAAACCAATGAACCTCATTCTCCTAATCAACAATGAATTTAGAATGTTACTGGGCATACACCATGTCAACTGACAGGCCTGCTTCCTGTTATTTAATGAGTTACTCTGGATATATGGATCTGGTCATCTCCTGAAACAGGTCTGTGTTAGAGAAAAAGATTAAGGAGCTTTGTTAACAAAGCAACCTCAAAATGAAAACAAAATCCATAGTAAATAAAGAGAATGTATAACATCAGATATGCAAAAATAATAACAAAGGACCAAAGCAACACCTTTGGAGAGTTTAGTAGATACATGTCAGACCCTAGATTCTGGTGGCTGACTCTATCTCCCCCCCCTCTAAAAAAGGGTGGGGGTAAAACTAATAAATTCTAAAATTAGCTCTTGGAAACAATGATATGTTTTGTTTTGAAGTTAGAGAAGTTAAACAGCAGGCCCATGAGGAAACTCAGTGGGTAAAGGTACCTAAAGCCTGACAACCTGAGTTTAAGCCCTGGGACCCAGGTGGTTCAAGGAGAGAGCACGAGTTGTCCACTGAATTCCACTTTCTTTTTTGTCTTTTTAAGACGGGGTCTCTCTGTAGCCCCAGCTGGCCTGGAACTCACTATGTAGACCAGGCTAGCCTCGAACTCACAGCGATCCACCTGCCTCTGCCTCCCAAGTGCTGGCATTAAAGGCATGCACAACCACGCCTCGTGGAATTCCACTTCTGTGCTTTGGAATGCACATGAGCACACAAAGTACATTAAAAACGTGTAATATGCAGCAGAGGCAATGATCACAGAAGGCCACACCTGGCCAAAGTATAGAGAATAAGAGACTGCAGAGTGTGTGTCCCTGGATAGGACTCCTGTATTAATCCTCACCCATCCAGAGCTCAGGGACCACTGTGGAAGAGGGGAGTGGAAAGACCATAAGAGTTAGGGGTGGTGCATGACCATAAGGAAATAGGCTTCCAGGCATCTGGGAACTTGCTCATGAACTTACAGCAATGGTGGAGCATGCACAAGACCTATGCAGACTCAGTCACAGATAAAAACCCACCATGGAACTGGGGAAATGGGCAGGAGGTCCCAACCTTAGCTGAGGAACTGTTGGCAGCTGATCACTGCTGAGTGAAGGAGAGTTGATCTTTAATGGAGTGACACTAGATAGGCTGGATAGGCTCCAGTGGATGAACTCACACCAAGAGACAGCTGGGTATACAGACTTTATTATATAGGCTTTACCATGTAAGAAGGCATGAAATCCTGTGGGCAGGCTGTGGGAGTTGCAGATAGGGGAGGTCTAAATATGATTAAAATTTACTTTATGAAATCCACTGCTGGGCCTGGTGGCTCATGCCTTTAATCCCAGCACTTGCAAGGCCAAGGCAGGCAGATCTCTGTGAGTTTGAGGCCAGCTTGGTCTACATAGTGAGACCCTGATGCAAAATAAAAATAAAAAATTTAAAGAAGTTGAACAGCCAGAGACACAAAACTAAATAATTTCCTTCCCTGAACCCTTTGTTACTAGCTATTTTGAAAAATTTAAGTTTTGCAGAAAAATTCAATGAATCACAACCACTTTTAGTCTCTTTTAATCTAGGAAGTTCTCCCTGTATTTCCCCCCTTTTTTTAAGGCTTGAAAAATGTGTGTGTGCCTGAATGGGTTTATGTGTATCACATGAGTGCAGGAGCTCCTGAGGCTGGAAGAGGGCATCATATCCTCTGGAACTGGAGGTATAGGTAGTTGTCAGCTGCTACGTCGGTGCTGGGAATCAACCTGGGTCACTTAACCAGTGCTCTTAACTACTGAGCTGTCACTCTAACCCTCTCCCTATGTTTTGATCCTTTATGGCATTGTTATTTTAAAGAATCTGGTTCAGTTACTATCCTACAAACTTTGTCTGTTTCCTCAGACTTATATTTGGATAAACATTTTTAAAAAGACCACCACTAGGTGGTACTCAGTGGCCTATCAGGCCCATAATATCAGTGTGTGTTATGATGGATAACCTGGGGAGAGTGGCATCTTTGTCTTAATGGTAACATTTCCCCTTGTATTTAATGGGGGTGATCTTTTTTGTTTTTTGTTTGTTTTGTTTTGTTTTGAGACAGAGTCTTACTAAATAGCCCTGACTAGCCTAGAACTCGCTGTGTAGACCAGCCTGACCTCGAACTCACAGAGATCCGCCTTCCTCACAGCCTGCTGGAATTAAAGGCAAGTGCCACCACACCTGGCGAGGTGATTCTTAATATGTGCTGTTGAGTTTTGTCTGAGCTGTTTCTTGCATGTATGGCTAAAGATGGTGATTTTCCAAGTGGCAACTCACATGTTTACTGAGAGGTGTTCTTGAGAAGTCTTTCATTCTCTCTTCCTTCCATTTTTAAGTTTGAAAGACTTTGTCAGTATCTGTGGATACTCAGTACTGTCACTCTTGATGCTGTATTGTCCTGCCTTTGGCCTGTGGCACCCCCTTCAGAGTGGCTGTGTCTTGACTGGCTTACTGTCATGTTTTGTTATTGAGCACACTCTTTTTTTCTCACATTAGAGAAGTGCTGTCAGCCCTTTTTCTGTGTTCCTTTACCATCCTGAGAGTGCAGAAGAGTGTGGGGGTGTGTTCCAAGCTACTGGAGTTCCTCTACCACAATACCCTAGTTAATGTGTTTATTGATGACTTACCCAGTGCATTTATATAGAAGAAGCAGTTTATAAAGGAAGAAGTAAAGCTGTTCTTGATGCCCTTCTAGCTGAAAAAGGATCTGGGTGAGCTGGGTCTGGCCAGGCTGGAGACTACATGGCTACTGCTTTATTTTTTTTTTCTAATGTGCACATGGGGCCAGTGAGATGGCTCAGCAGGTAAAGGCACTTTGCACGAAAGCCTCAAGACCCCTGAACCCACGTAAAGGTGGAAGGACAGAAGTGACAGAACAGTCTTGTCACTGGTTGTACACCTCACCCCATATACACACCAAGCATGCACACATGCATGTGGGCACACACACCTCATTTTTTAAAAGTATTTTTATAGGGGGCTGGAGAGATGGCTCAGCAGTTAAGAACACTGGTTGTTCTTGCAGAAGATCTGGGTTCAAATCCCAGCACCCACATGGCAGCTAACAACTATCCATAACTCCAGTTCCAGGGGATCTAACAGCCTCTTCTGACCTCCACGGGCATTGTACAACATGGATGTACTTACCTACATGCACAAATACACATAAAATAAATAAATAAATATATTTTTATGTGTATGAGTGTACTATCTGCATGTGTGTAAGTGGACCCATGTCATACAATGCCTGTGGAAGTCAGAAGAGGATGTTGGATCCCCTGGAACTAGAGTCATGGAAGCTGTCAGCTGCCATGTGGGTGCTGGGAACTGAACTCGGGTCTTTTGCAAGAGCAGCCTATGCTCTTAACCACTGAACCATCTCTCCAGCACCCCCACAGTAATAACTTTTAAAACTTTAAAAATAAAGTGAACATGAATTCTTCTTACACTGTTTTGGTATGTGTACTTTATTTTACAATAAAAATCTTTTTTTCTGATCTTGAACTTGCAGAGATCTGCCTGCCTCTGCCTCCCAGGTGCTGGGATCAAAGGCGTGCGCCACCATATCTGGTGCAGTGAAAATCTTTTGGCTGTGTAGAAAATGTTTCTTTGGGGTCATTTTTTCATTTTCCAAGGTACTTACATTTTAAGCACTTTATTTTTTTTTAATTTATTTTTTAATTTTAAGTGAGTGTTTTGCCTGCATGTATGTTAAGTGCACCCCTGTGTGCAATGCCCACGGAGGCCAGAAGAGGGTGATGGGTTCCCTGGAACTGGAGTTAGAGGCAGTTGTTAGCTACCATGTGGGTGCTGGGAACTGAACCTGGGTCCTCTGGAAGAGCAGCCAGTGCTCTTAACAGGTGAGCCATCCCTCCAGCCTAAGTACCCGATTTTTTTTTTTTTTTGGTCTTTTTGAGACAGGGTCTCCCTGTAGCCCCAGCTGTCCTGAACTTACTATGTAGACCAGGCTGGCCTTGAACTCACAGAGATCTGTTTGCCTCTGCCTCCCGAGTGCTGGGACTAAAGGCGTGTGCTACCACGCCCGGCCAGCACCTGATTTTTTTAAAAACACTTTTTGGGGAGAACTGCCTGCCTCTGCTTGGCTCATGAAAAGCATTTCTTTTCCCTCCAGGAAGGTTGTGCAGGGCCAGTCTTCCCTGTGCAGGGGCTACTGCACTTCCTGCAGATTCTGAGCGGCACTGTAATGGGTTCCCTGCTGGAGCTGATGTCACCAACAGGCCATTGCCCTGGAGACCCCTGGTGCTTCTCATCCCTCTGCGCCTAGGGCTCACAGACATCAATGAGGCCTATGTGGAGACATTGAAGGTAAGTCTTGAAAGCAACCCTTATCCTTTGCTTCTTGCCTCCTAGTTCTCCATCACTTTCTGTATGTGGTCAACTAGCTTTGGGAAGAATGTAAACAGTTTATGAAAGGGGCATACATCTATTGATCAAGTGAGGCAGGTAAAAGGCCCTATTCTTACAGAAGGATGCTGAGAATTTAAATGTCAAGAGCTTTTAAAGGGTCTTCAAGACCAGTCAACCTGTTCCTTGGCCTGGCACTTGTGGCCTTCTCTCTCTCTCCCTAGTCTCTGCTATGCCTTGGGCAACCTTCCCAGGTATCCCTTGAGCTTCCACTGCTGTCTAGAAGGTTGGTAGGCCATAAGGGTAGGGACTGCAGATAGATCTGAGGTGACTAATGGCTGCTGAAATTGCTAGGAAATCCATCTACCTGTCTGATATCCCCCACCCACAACACAGAAACAAAAGGCAAAACCTTTCTTTGAACTACAGTTTACTCAGATTTTAGATCAAGGAGTCACATTTGAGATCTTCATTATATAGAATGTTAACAGTGCCTTTTATTAAATTCTTCACTTATAATTTTATAATTGCCTCTCAGCATTTTGGCTAAAATCAAGTATAAAATGAAACTCTTCACTTACCTTGGTCTTGTCCTCTCCCTCCATATCTCTGACTACCCTCCAATATCTTGGCATCCCTGCTGTAGGTACCTGTAGTACCTCCTCTCTCTTCTTTTTTTTCTTTTGTTTTTTGAGACAGGGTCTCCTGTAGTACTTCTACACTCAGCCCTCCTCTCTCACTGCTGCTTCTCCTTACTGATTTCCCATTTCATCTTACTTTTCTCCTGTTGCCATTTCTCCATTGGGCCAGACTGACCTCTGGCCAGTTTCCCTCCTGAATTTGCCTGCTCACACCTCCTTCCTATTTGTATCTGCATACTCCTCTACAAGCTGTTCCCCAGTGCAGTCACCTCTCCTCCCTAGAAGTTTCCCCACACAGAACCTTGAGCCTGTGGTGTGTGCTGTTGTACCTCCTGGACTGGAAACTCTTTGGGGTATGTCTTCTTGTCTTTCTTATGCCACTCAGGCCTCTAGAGGCCATGGCCCTCCTGGGGCTACAGATGGGGAACCACACACTCCTACCTGTGTGCTGTGTAGGAATGTGGTGGACTGTGCAGGAGTCTCCTAGTATGTCGTTGCAAGGCCAGTGTGCTCAGGGGCCTCCCCTCCTCTTTCCTGCAGCACTGTTTCATGATGCCCCAATCCCTGGGTGTCATTGGAGGGAAGCCCAACAGTGCCCACTACTTCATTGGCTATGTCGGTGAGTCTGCTCTGTGTGCTATGGTTCCACAGCAATGAGCTGTCTCCCTAGGGGAGTGGATATTTTTTCCTGTGGAGCAGTTTTGTTGCCTCCCCCTACTCTACTTCACATACTATGGTGACGTACACTTAACTCAAGCCAGCAGTGGACAAGCAGTGTGCTTCTGTGAGGAGCCTGCTTCCCAGTGGCTGTGTGCTAGTAACCCACGTGACCTTCCCTCCTTTCCCCTGATTTTGGTTCCTACCCACCTTCTATTTGCTAACTCTGGTATGGTGTGTCTGGATGTTGCCCTGGGTTGCTTCCTGTTCCTTGCCCAGCTGTGGTTTGCTGCCTTCTGACGTCTCCATTGTCTTGCCTAGGTGAGGAGCTCATCTACCTAGACCCCCACACGACACAGCCTGCAGTGGAGCCGACTGACAGCTGTTTTATCCCTGATGAGAGCTTCCATTGCCAGCACCCTCCTTGCAGGATGGGCATTGGGGAGCTCGACCCATCCATTGCTGTGGTACGTCACAACCGTGCGAGTTCCTAGGCAGTTGTTCTGAGTCATTCTGTGCCTGTCCTGCTACAGTATGGGAAGGAAAACTTTCAGATTTTGTAGTTTTTTCAACCTTTCAGAGTGCTAGGTTCACATAATTTAGGAACCCAAGACCATAGGAGTTGACTCTTTCAGCTCCTCATGTCTTTCCCAGAGACCATCTGCTGCCTTAGTGGCTTCCACTGCCAGTGTGGGCCAGAGTATGTGTGGGAGTGAGTGTTGCCTGTGATAGGGTATGTGTACCAAGTGTGAGGGTATGTGTTTCTCCTACTTTATAAAACATGAATGACAGCTTGCTAGAGTCAACCCATCTGCACTACCTCTTCAGTTGTATGTCTGTGTTCTGAGAGAGGATTCCCTCAAATTAGCTTCCTTGTCTTCCTGTTTTGATTATGTAGTAGGAATTTCTGATGTTTGTTTTATGCAAACCTGCCTACTCAAAATGCATTTGGGGAGGAGGCCAAAAAATCCCCCAAAATGTCTAAACAATGCCATATATCGCCATCTGGTCCCAGATATGAAACAGTTTCCTTTCCAGACACAACCCCAGCACACACCCTGCCTCATGTGTCCCTCCCCTCAAGCCTTGAGGAGAGTAGATTAGAGCTCTGTGGCTCAAACTTCCTATAGAACCCACTGGTAAATTCCTCATCTAACTGAAGTATGTACATTACAGTGAACGCATCTCAACAGCACACAACGATTAGAACTCATGTACTCATGTACTAACATCAAGCTAGTTGGCCAACCCTACAGTAGATGGTAAACACATGGAGACTAGCAGGTGCAGAGAGCACCAGGCATGAGCCCCAGTCCTAGCTTTTGGGAGCTGAGACCAAAGGGAACACACGATGGAAGCACTCTTCTTCCTACCATGGAGAAAACAGCAGAGCACATGACTTCTCGCAGAGATAGGCTTCCATCTTCAAGCAGAATGTGTGTGTGGATCGAAGCATGGGCTGAGCAGATAGCCTGGTGTGTTTGCAAGTGCATGCCAGGGTCCCTGAAGGTAGTAGGACTGTAGAGCACAGCCTCCAGCTCACAACAGATACGGTCATTGCTCTCACAGTCATTTTCATTTTTAGGGGTTTTTCTGTAAGACTGAGGATGACTTTAACGACTGGTGTCAGCAAGTCAAAAAGGTCTGTAGCTGTCCCCTGTCCAGAGCCAAGCAGAAATTTCTGGGGACCTGGGGAGCGAGGTGGCTAGGGTGAAGGGAGCTTCTTGGCACAGCCTGGCTAGGGAAACTGGTTGCATGGAGAGTTGTTCCTGCCTCATGTATGCAGGCTAAATGGGTTGTTCTCACATAGCTGTTGTTCCTGGCTATGTCTGGGTCATGATTAGCCATCTTGTGGACAGGTATCATACATTAACTTTAAGCTGGGGTTCTGGCCTACTTACCTGCCTCTGGTGAATTATGTGCCAGAAGCTGCCCCTCTGGTGGGTGCCTGCTTCTCCTGTCTGTGCCTCTTGGAATCATGTGTGCTTGTTGTGTTGTCACACCATTGCTAGTGGGCCCAGCCTGTGCTGTGTTGATCAGTGTTGGGCTATGCTGTAATGTTTAGTGTGAATACCACCTTCCATTTTCTTACCTGTAAAAAGGTATAATAATGGTGTTTACCTCATGGCTGTGGCCAGCTGGCCCTTCCTCTTGACTGTGGTACCTTCTGCAGGCTAAGGACTATAGTGACTACTGACATGCATCTAACAGCTATGTCTCACTGATAGTTGTCTCTGCTTGGAGGTGCCCTGCCCATGTTTGAACTGGTAGAGCAGCAGCCTTCCCATCTTGCCTGTCCCGATGTCCTGAACCTGTCTCTAGGTGAGTGCTGAGGCTACAGAGCAGAACCTGGGTGGGATATTCCCGTCTCTCATCTTTTCTTTCAGTCTGTGCCTGCCATAAGCCCTCAGGTCTTGGTCTCCTTGCTTTTAACCATTAAAGTTCGTATGACCTCCAGGTGCAAGTAGTTGGTTGTTGGTGAGACAGGTGCTGCAGAGCACTCTGTGTCTAACCCTGAGCTTGGCATCAGCAGACTTTACCCATATTCTCCCCCAGGGTGCTGTGGAATAAAATATGCTCTCATAGGTTTCTTAGGCACTGCAGTGACAGGGCACAACAGGCCTTGTGATGATGCAGTCCAGGGTAGGAATCCCTGGGGATGAGCAAGGTTGGCTCCTTGGTCTGTGGCCAGAATGCTTAGGGGGCTGGCATTGGGAGATGCTGGATGGCGGTCCAGTCACACCTGGTCCATTTTCAACTGGAAAAGGAAATGAGTGCTCTCTCTTGCCCCCATCCTTTTGGGTTGATACTGGGCTGCCTCACTTTGTGCTGGCAGGAATGAGATACTTTTCTTTTGAGGAGTACCCCATTCCTCAGTACTCGCAGGACCTGGTCACTTGGTCATTGGTCTGGACCCTTTTTTACTAAGACTCTCCAGTCAGGAAGAGGCTTAGGCTGTAAGCCAGGCCAGGCCTGTTCCAGTTTGTCACCCTCTTCTACCATCTGCTCACCCCACAACCCATACCAGCCCCTGAGAAATGTCTAATAGAAATTTTATCTTGCTACTTCCAGATTCTTCTGATGTAGAACGACTGGAAAGGTTCTTTGACTCTGAGGATGAAGACTTTGAAATCCTGTCCCTCTGAAAATCCTAGGGTTGGGGGATGGCCTCCATGGCCCTCATTAGGGTGCTTGAGAACCCAGACCTGCCTTGGGTGCTCAGTGTCACCGCATTCCATCTACCTAGCCCACCCCTGCCGAGTGCTGTGCGCCTGTGCCACCTCCGTCCAGAGGGCCTGCTCTGCTCATGGACCGAGGACTGCGCTGCCTGGAGGCCTTACTGCTTGAAGTCAGACTGCCCAACCCCAAACACAGGCAGGGCCTGTCCACAAGAGGAGCCACCTACCAGAAGGCCTAGTCAGAAACAGCAGGTCAGGAACTTCCAGAGTTCTCCGCTTGACACTGCCAGCCCTGGTCAGCGCATCAGCTTTGGTTCTGCTTTCTCCTGGGCATCTGGGTCTGTGGTTTGTTTGGAATTAAAGCCCTGTTTGAAGTTGTTCAACATAGACATGAATTTCTGGGGCACTTCCCAGGTCAGTCTTGGAAGACCTGCAGGTTGGCATGTACAGAGCAACAGCCACATTGTGGCCTCATGCTGCTGGGCAGGTTGAGCTTTGGGGCTTTGTCTCCTGCCCGGTGTGATTTATCAAGGGCTACCTCAGTGGAAAGTTACAGCAAGGCTGCTACTTGCTTTGGAGAGAAAAGTATTCTGGGAGGGCCTGTGGGAAATCCAAAGATCAGTGTGCATGAGCAGAATGTGGACACCTGAACTGTGGGACAGCTGATGGACTCCCAGGGTATCTTCTGGAGCCACTGTCCTCAGAGGTTCCCCATTAGGGTAGAGCTCTCTGTCTCCTTGAGAGGTTGCTGCATTTCAAGCCGCACCGCCTGCTGCCATTTGCTTGCCATCCAGCTTCCCTGTGGGAGGAGAGGGGAGCAGAGCTGCTCTTTGCCTGTGACACTGTACCCACTGGTGGGATGGTACATGCTGTTAATAGGGTGCACACTGCCACTCGAGCCTTCCTCCATGTTCTTGCCCTTCTCAGAACCACCCTCCTGGGTCACTGAGGTTTTAGATGGTTGGGGACCAAAAGGGTGAAAGCACTACAGCTTTGTGGTGCATGATAGATATTTGGTCAGGGTAGCCAGCTCCTGGCACCAGTGGGTGAAGTATCCAGACCTTTAGCATTCCTTTCAGCACCTGCCACCATCTAACCTTGGCTTTCTGGGCCTTTACACCTTGCCTCTCCTGTCTGCTATCTTAGAAATGGGGCTTTCCTTCCCCTAGATGTGAACAGGGTTTGGCAGCTTGATGTGGCCCTTGCAGGAACCTTCCTAAAAACCTTTTCCTAAGGGGCTATGGATGGGCGAAGCTCCCTGATGGTGTGTCCAACATAGCAGCTCTAAGTAACCCACCAAGGTAGCAAGGGATACTCCAGTCCTCCAAGTGTTGATGATGTAATTTATTTCCTTTTATTCTCTCCTCTCTCCTCCTCCATGCCCTCCCTTAGCTTCAGGTGGGTAGGACATGGGGAAGTCCTGCACAGTTTCCATTCCTCTGGGGCTGTGCTTCCTGAGCCCAGTGGCCACTGAGCTGCTACGGCCCAGGTTCTTGCTGCAGTTCCTGCTATTGGTACCAAGGGTGGATGTGTGGAACTTGACAACCTGAGGGAACTCTCATGGCTTGAGAAAGGCTTCCTGAAGAGGTTGTTCATTCTTAGTAGTATAGTTTGCAATTCTTAATGGCAAATAATAAGTTTCAGTAGAAAACAAAGTTTGTGTGTGTATTGATTTTTTTCCCCCTTCAGTCATAATTGGGTGTGATTTTTTTTTTTTTTTCTAAAGTGAATGATTAAGCTCACAGTGTCACAGGTGAAGATTTTTGCAAGTTGGAGAAGTAGAGCCTGCCCTGCCTCTAGCCTAAGGAGCTAACATGTTTTTCCTCATGTTCAGTGAACATATGGTCTCAAAAGGAAAAAGTACAAGGAGAGTATGATATAAAAATGAGCCAGGAGCTGAGCGCGATGGCGCACGCCTGTAGTCCCAGCACTCAGAAGGCAGAGGTAGGTGGATCTCTGAGTTCAAGGCCAGCCTGGTCTACATAGTGAGTTCCAGGCCAGCTGGGGCTACAGGGAGACCCTGTCTCAAAATGACCAAATAAAATAAAAATAAAAATGAGCCAGGGGGCTGGAGAAATGGTTCAGTGCTAAAAGTACTTATTATTCTTCCAGAGGACCAGAGTTTTTTTCTAGCACCCATGTTGGGCAGCTTACAAATGCCTGTAATTACAGCTCCAGGGGATCTGACACCTTCTGGCCTCTGTGGGCATGCACACACATACACGCACACAAATAAAAATAATAACATCTTTTTTTTAAAGGTGGGGGAACTGGAGAGATGGCTTAGCAGTTAAGAGCACTGGCTGTTCTTGTAGAGGACCCAGGTTCAGTTCCCAGCAACCACATGGCATCTAACAACTGTACATAACTCTAGTTTCAGGGGTTCTGATGTCCTCTTCTGACCTCTGCAGGCATTGAACAACATGATTCAGGCAAAAGGCACAATTTTTTTTTTTTAAGGGTAGGGGGCTGGAGAGATAGCTCAGTGGTTAAGAGCACTGGCTGCTCTTTCAGAGGACATAGGTTCAATTCCCAACATCCACCATGGTGACTAACTATCCTTAATTCCAGTTCCAGGGATCAAAGCCCTCTTCTGGCCTCTGTGCATTTGTACACATGTGGTGCACTTATATGTGCAGGCAAAACACAACACACAATAAAAATTTTAAAAGTTAGTAACCCTTCACCAGGAGAAAGTTGTAACATTCCTGGGTATGAGGCTTGCCTTGGTGTCCCTCCAGGCAAGCTGTAATTGGCCTGGTGTGGGGAAAGTAGGGGTATATCCAGGGCACAAGTAGGAGATTGTTAAGACCATCTCATCCTCCCTGGTGAGATACCTCAGTGGGACAACCCTGGGTAACCCCTACCTGACCTCTTCAGTGCCAAGAGCCCAAAGAAAGGAAAACTGCTGACCCAAGTACAGTGGCCCAAGGCTTGCCCCTCAGATACCCATCTTGGCTGTTGTGACTGTGTAACTGTACTGCTGGAGCTTGTCCCAAGGTCCTTCTAATGGACAGAGGAGCAGACTACTATTAGCAGGGCTGGTTCTCCAGGACATCTCTTAACCTTGACCTTCCTTGTTAAAAGATGCCTGTGGTGCCTGGGTAATCTACCTCAGGATGCCATCTAATGCTATCTATATAGTCCACATCCTTTTGCGTTTGTTTTTTTTTGGGGGGGGATATGCTTAACCTCTCTAAACACGCTCTTTTTTTAAATTTTAAAAAATTTTTATTTTATGTGTATGTGTGTATTGCCTGCATGTAGGAAAGTGCACCCTTGTTGTGCAATGCCTGCAGAGATCAGAAGAGGCTGTCAGATCCCCTGGGACTGGAGCTACGGACAGTAGTTAGCTGCCATGTGAGTGCTAGGATTTGAACCTGGGTCTTCTGTAAGAACAACCAGTGTTCTTAACCGCAGAGCTATCTTTCCAGCCCCCTAAACACACTCTTAATACACACTACACATATAAGGTATATTCTACCAGGAAATGTCAGCAAATCATTTTATTCTGGAGCACTGAAAAAGGGTTAGAATGAAAAGCTCCAGTGTCATCAGCAAAACCTGCAAGGTTAACACAAGTAGGTTCAGAATGCTGGCCATCATGCCACTAGATAGAGCCTGTCTATCCTTGACCAGCCTGGTAACACTGGTCAAATCCACACTGAGAATCCCATGAGTACAGAGCAGGGCCCCCTCCACATTCCCAGGGAAAGCCAGTTAAATCCACAGCTGTTTACAGTAAGGCCTTCCACAATTACATTTTCAGTACATTTTTATTAGTTCCTGTAAGAAATTCGAAAGAATCCAAACTAATTGCTGTTTGCAGTGATCTCAATGGAACGGCCCAGAATTGTCATTAAATTTCATTATGGAAACACCATAACACATTAACATATTTAGGATGGAGGAGTGGGTAGCAGATACCTGCTATGGTGTCCATACCACCAAGGTTCCAGGTTACGAGCGGAGGTCTGTAGGTCTCTGCTGCCAGGAGATAGCTCCTGATCGTGTGAAATCTGAATAGTGTCAAGCATGTGAGCCTTCCACAAGTCTCCTGAAGGGCCACAGGGAACAGCATCTGCAGTGGGGTGGCCTCCATTTATTTCCATAGCTCCCCCAGAGGCCTCTGTGCTGCACAGAGGATGACATCCTCAGAGAGTGCACGGATTTCCTCATGGACATCCTCAATGCTTTTGGAAGCATCAACCACCTGTTATGACAGGGGAGAAAGAAGGTCATTACACCACCTTTCCTTCAGTTCCCAAAAGCACGTGGTGATAACCAGGTGAGCCAGGGCCGAATAAAGCCAACCTGAATCCCCTCAGCAACCCTTCACCCACAGCTTTGCTCAAATCTCAGTCTGGATGGTATCCTTGGTATAAATCAGGCCACATGCTTGCCTCATTCCAGACAGGAGACATGGGATGCACTAGCTGCCCACCCTGTAAACAGGCTGAGCAACTGTCCCCCAGTTGACTAGTGAGGACAGGCTCCAAGATGCTTGAAAGCTGTGTAGATGACCCCATCAACTTGGGTCTGCCACCTGTTCTCTTGGGAGATGAAGGCCGTCCTAACAACTGCACTTTCTTCAGGAAAGTCAGGTCCTAGGGGAGTTTTTCTCCCTCAGAAGGAAAACAGAAAAGGGAGTCTGATAAAAGTGCTAGCTTCTCCAAGTCCCTTCTGTAGGGATCTGGGCAGGACCCTTTGCTCTGTAAGGTTGGTCAAGACTTTTGGCAACAAATTCTGGAAAAGGTCCCAGGAGTATAGAAGGTATATAGAATCCATGCTTTTCATGGTATGACCATGTATGAAGAAAACTTCCTAGAACACACCTCATCAGCCCCAGTATAGTCACACATCCCTTGCCCAGACTTCAGGATGGCTCTCTGGGCCGACTTAATGCCCAAGAGAGGGAAAGGGTCATCATCTCTTCAAAAAAAAAAAAAATAACACACTGCAGAAACTTAAGACTTCAAAATTATGAGGCAGTATAATATAAACAAAGGACAAATCATGCAAGGGTAAGCAGCACCATCTGTGGAAAAGCTATGACATTTGGTACCTGCTGAAGTACTGGGTCGAAGTCTGGGGACCTGCAAGTAGTAGTCACAAAGTGACCATGCAAGCACCATCAGACCCACCAGGAGCACTCTAGCTTCTAAGTAGAAAAGATAATTGGCAACTTGTATGCAGGAAAGGTAGAACTAGGATTAGGGTGGGGGGCAACCACCCTACATTAGGGTATAGGAAGGGGCTGTATTGGCCTCCATACAGCCTTAGAAGAAGGAGGCTGAAGCAGATTCCTGGGACCTGTAGTGAAGCAAGTACACCGAGAACAGGACTAGAGGGAAGCCTAGTGGGGACACTTCCTGTGCAGAGATGGCTGTGTACAGTCCTATACTCTGTAAAGAAATGGGCAAGAAACAGTCCCAGGTTGTAGCTATAGAGAAGATGCTTACAGTGTGACGAAGGGCCTACAGAGAAAGACCAGGAAGCAGTCACCACAGCATGGGCTAAAAGGAAGAGTAGGACATACAATGACCCTGAAACTGGCAAGCTCCACCATTTGACAGCATTATCTGAGTATAACCCAAGTACAGATACAATCCACTGAAGGATCATTCCTATGATAAAGACAGTAAAGTGTGAGGCAGCTTTTAAGTCTTCATGTTCTGAATGGTAATGTCTCATGGCTAAAGCCTTACATAGGACAAGTGTGCTGGGGCTCATGTCTGTGGATACATAGGTTCATTCTTCATGAAGACTTCAAACATCTGGCTCATCAGAAAAGGCAGAAGTCTTACTGCTTTGTAAAACCCACATGGGGATTTGAATTTGCTGGCATGGGGCTGAGGGTATAGCTCAGTAGTAGGTGTGGCCCTAGGTTCTGACCATAGCACCAAAAACAAAAGTTGGCTGGCAGAGAACCAGAACAGCTTCCCTGAGGTTCCACAGGGGGGAAAGCCAAACCAACTCTGGCAGCTGTGTTAATGTCACCAGAGGGTGGACTCGTGCACAGCTTCTCAATGGTTCCAGTACTCACCTTCCAGTTCAAAGTTTTATCACTCATGAGCTGTTGGAAACACAGCAGGGCCCGCTCCTGGAAAGTCCCATTCTCATAGCGCTCATGGCCAAACTCTCCCCGGGTGGCAGCATCCACCAGTTGTAACTGAAGGAAGAGGATCAGGTCAGGTTTGGGAAGGCCTATGTCTGGCTGTTTGCACCAATCCAAGGAAAAATTCTGCCAACAGAAAACCCAGTAGTTAGAGACAGCAACCTGATTGGGACCTAATCTTGTTTCAGAAGTCATAGAAAAACAAAAGGTGAGCTGATATTTGGGGAGGCATAGGAATTCTTATACAGCAGTAACTTTACTTGTAAATTAGCAAATGATTTGCTTTCTCCACTGCCGCTGCTGGAAGTACTGACTGGACAGTATGGTACCACAGCTCTGTGCTGTACAATTCAGTTTACTGGGACCTCGTGTTACAGCTCTGGGCCTTCTGTCCCAGAGAAAGACAATGTATGCATAGCTCTCCTAGTGGTCCACTCGGCCTAGGAAGCCTGGGATGGAAAGCACAGAGGATGGTTCCAGTGACAGGTATAGGGCCTTTGCTGTAACCTTTTAGCCATATACCTGCTGGGAAATGCTAAAGGAAACTGGTGATCCTGCAAGTCCACTGCTTGCAGGCCTGCCTTACAGATCTTACATATGTGCACATTCCCACTTAATCTTTGCCAACATGCTAAAAATGGTGTCCTTATTTCTGGAGGAAAAGTAGGGTAAGAGAAGCCACCCCCATCCCCAGGGGCCCTCCTACAGACCCAAGTGTGCATTAATTTGTCCTGTGTTCCTTAAACTAAACACTTCACTGGGGAAGTACTCCATTTAACACATACAGAAGAAGTAGAGGAATTAAAAGTTTACCACTTTGCAACTAGTCATCCCCAAGAGCTATTATTACAAAAAGACATTACCGGATATCACCTGCCTCATAATGAGGACCTAGCACTCTTAAGCTTACAAGGTAAAAAGAAAAAAAAAAATTTATGAGACAGGGTCTTACTGGAACTCACAGAGCTCCAACTGCCTCTGCCTTCTGAGAGCTAGGATTAAAGGCATGCACCCATGCCAAGCCCACCTCAAGCCTACCCCAAGGCAAGGCAAAAAAAATTTAAGCAGGATGTGATGACTGGGAGGTGGAGGCAGGAGGATCAGGAGTTCAAGGTCATCCTTGGCTACATAGTGGGTTCAAGGTCAGGCTTGACCACATCTCAGCAAAACAGTAGAAGGTGTGGGGAATAAGTAGGCACATGATTTCCCACAGAGTTATTCTCTCAGTACTCAAAAGATTTTAAATACGAATGTCAGAAAGATGCTGGAGACATCTAAAGATTTAAGGGACCAGGGACACAACTTAGTGGCAGAGCACTTGCCTACCATGTGTGAGGCCGTAGGTTTCTCAGCAGCATTAAAAAAAAAAAGGAGCTGGAAAGATGGCTCAGCGGTTAAGAGCACTGGTTGTTTTTGCAGAAGACCAGGGTTTGAATCCCAGCACCCACATGGCAGCTAACAGCAGTCCAAAACTCCAGTCCCAGGGGATCCGACAGCCTCTTCTGACCTCCGCAGGCGTTGCATGACACAGGTGCACTTACCTACATTCAGGCAATACACGCATACACATAAAATAAAAATAAAATTAAAAAAGGAAAAATTCCTGCCGGGTGTGGTGGCGCACACCTTTGATCCCAGCACTCGGGAGGCAGAGGCGGGCGGATCTCTGTGAGTTCAAGGCCAGCCTGGTCTACATAGCAAGTTCCAGGACAGCTGGGGCTACAGAGAGACCCTGTCTCAAAAAGACCAAAAAAAATAATAATAATAATTCTTGGTCCAACAAGGTGGCTCAGCAGGTAAAAACACTTTACCACACAAGTCTAATGACCTGAGTTCAATCCCCAGAACTCATGGTTGAAGAAGAGAATCAACTCCCAAGAGTTGCCCTCTAACTTCCACACATGCACCATGGCATGCACAAATACAGATAAAAAAAAAAAGATTTAAGAGGTATTTCAACATAGGGACCTTTGTCAGATTTAAATTCAACACAATAAAAGTACAAACAAGACAATCAGCCAGTTTTGAGAGCTGGGGAATACAAACACTGATTGCATGTCTGGTGACACCACAGAATGACCACTCTCATATTTAGGTGAGATTGTTCTTAAAAACAACTTTCTTCAGCCAGGATAGTGGCTCACATCTGTAATCCCAGCACCATGAGTTTGAGGCCAGACTGATTTACCTACTGAGCTCTAGGAGTGCATGCCTTTAGTCCCAGCACTCAAGAGGCAGAGATAGGAGGATCTCTGTGAGATTGAGGCCAGCCTGTTCTACCTAGTGAGTTCCAGGCCAGCTGGGGCTACAGGGAGACCTTGTCTCAAAAAAGATGAAAAACAAAAAACCCCCAAGCTTTAATATTGGGTGTATACTAAAACATACATAGAACTGATACTGTCACCTGGTATGGAACAGGAAACAGGTATCCCTGAAGCTGGTGGCCTTACTGGGAGATTTTCTGCTGGTATCTATTTTAAGTTTAAAAAACAAAAGCCAGCCTTGTCTGCAGGGTGAATTCCAGACATAGTTACATGGTGAGACCTTGTCTACCAAAAAAAGGGGGGGGCACCCTTTTGGTCTTTTTGAGACAGGGTCTTCCTGTAGCCCCAGCTGGCCTGGAACTCCCTGAGTGCTGGGATTCAACGCATGCACCACCACATCCGGCTTCTTTTTTTTTTTTTTTTTTTTTAAGGCAAGAAAAAAAGGCAGCACAGCTACTACCATTACACATATGAAGCAGTGTGGAAGGACAAAAGGGAGGCTGGCAGAGAAATGCTCAAGTAGCTCAAGTATCCTAGTGACTTTACATGTGGTCACAAAGCCAGACACTATGAAAAATCAAATCATCTTTGAATCTGCATGTGAGATGAATCATCCAAATGGAAAATACAGTGCTGTCTGTGAAACAACCTGCAGGTACACATTTGTTTACTGGTAAAAAAGCAAGTTAATCTAGCACAGGTAGAGGAATGTGGGCGCCATCAGAAAGTAGCTTGGGGCCCATACCTGACAACCTACTTGAGACCATACAGCACTCACCTCCTTGGCACTGGTAAAAGCAACACCAGAAAAGGCGTATCTGTCCACAACAAGGGTCACACCCTGGCTCAACTTCGCCTTAATTAATGGCCTGAAAAACAGAATGCTCTTGAGCCCTGAAATTGGTTGACCAGACCCTGAACTATTATACTCAAATTATCCCACCAATGTAACTCAGAAATCCTATACAATAAGTTATAGCACAATGGTTTAAAAATCTTATTTTCATTCAAAAGAGCTGGGTATTTTCTCTTTAGAAGATGCCAATGGGAACTTCTAGCAGAACTTCTAACATGGAGAAGGTAACCACTGATAAAGGCCAACACTCTGAGCTGTCTGAGCAGAGGGGCCAGCACTGCTCTGCTGAGGAGAACCCAGCAAAAAGCAGAGGATATAAGTGAAGACTGAGGCTCATGTCCCCAAGCCTGGACTACAAGGAGAAGAATGAACAAGATGTCAAGCCCCTGGGGGCACAATATGGGTGTACTTATGTACATGTAGGCAATACACTCATATACACAGAATAAAAATAAATAAGAAAAAAAAATCTAAACCCAGATCTTACCCTAAAATCTAAACTTCAGATCTAAAAGTAAAACACAAAACTTCTAAAAGGAGAAATCCTAGATCATACTGAGCATGGCAGCACCAAAGATCAGATCCGTGAAAGGACTGATAAGCGCAACTTCAGTTAAATTAAAACTTCTGCTGTGCAAGACACTATCTGAGAATGAGTGGACAGGCCACAGAATGGGAGAAAAAAATGTGGAAAAGGCACAGCTGACAAATGATTGATACACAAGGTATATGCAGGCGGATCTCTGTGAGTTCCAGGCCAGCCTAGTCTACATAGCGAGTTCCAGGCCAGCTAGGGCTATTGGGAGACCCTGTCTCAAAAAAGACAAAAAAAAAAAAAAAAAAAAAAAAAAAAAAAAGCAATAAAGAAAATAGCCAGCACTTAAAGCTGGGGCAGGAGGATTGCCATGAATTAGAGGACAGTCTGAGCTAGAGTGAAACCCCATCTCAAAAAGAAAAAAAGGCCACGCATGGTAGTGCATGCCTTTAATCCCAGTACTTGAGCACTTGGAAGGCAGAGGCAGGCAGATCTTTGTGAGTTCGAGGCCAGCCTGGTCTACATAGCGAGTTCCAGGACAGCTGGGGCTACAAGGAGACCCTGTCTCAAAAAAAAAAAAAAAAAAAGTGAGAGCTAGGGAGATGGCTGAGTATATAAAGCACCTGCCATGCAAACAGGATGCACGCAGGTACAAAACAGGGAAGGTGAGGGTAGGCTGGAGAAGTGCAGAGCCTGGGGGCTCAGTGGCTAGTCAAGTCCACAATTAATGAGCTCCAGATTAAGAAACTCTGTCTCAAGCCAGGCATGATGGCACAGGCCTTTAAACCCAGAACTAGGGAGGAAGAGGCAGGCAGATCTCTTATCAGTTTGAGACCAGCCAGGACTACACAGTGACTCTGTCTAAAAAGAGAGACAGAGACAGAGACAAAGAGACAGAGGCAGAGATGACTCTGCCCAAAAAATAAAGTCAAGGTACCAGGCAGAGACAGGCAGATCTGTGAGTTTGAGGCCAGCCTGGTCTACATAGTGAGACCTTGTCTCAAAAAAACAAAAATAAAGTGGAGAGTGATAAAGGAAAACACCCAATATCAGGCTTTGGTCTCCACATACACACTCATACAAGTGCACTCGCACACATGTACACACACACACACACAACCCCCACAGGCACACACCACACATGTCTTAAGTTACAAGAGGGGAAACTGTAGGCTAGTTTTTACACTTGTTCCCAGCGGTTTGCAGAAAAAAGCAGGTGCACGGAGTGATCTTCCAGTTCAGTTTTCTTTGCTAAGTAGGAACTCAGAAGTTTCCCAATTTCTGTTGATCTTTCTAGAAAGAGAAAAATACAAATACTAGTTAGGTCAAGTTTTTCATCCAAATTATACTGTAGTTTGAAGAACATTTTTTGAACTGTACTTGTGTACATCTTTGAACTTTACTTTGGTAAACCTCTAGACAAGTTTGGATCTTTGAAGCCAAAGGTATTTCCCTGAAAGTGTGCAATGTGCAGATGCCTTGATTTTAAAAACTAGACTGGGGCTGGAGAAATGGCTCAGGGGTTAAGAGCACTGGCTCTTCTAGAGAACTCGAAACCTGGGTTCGATGCCCAGCACCCACATGGCAGCTAACAACTGTAACTCTAGTTTCAGGGGCTCCAATGCCCTCTTCTGACTTCCCAGGGTATTGCACAAGACAGGTGCACTAACATCCAGGCAAAACCCTTATACACATAAAGTTTAAAAAAATAAAAAACAAAAACAAAAACCTTTTGACAGGTTGGCTTTAATATTAGAATATCCAAGAAAGCAGCCAGGTGTGGTGGTGCACACCTTGAATCCCACTACAGCAGAGGCAGGTGGACCTCTGTGAGGTCAAGATCAGCCTGGTCTATGTAGCAAGTTCCAGGCCAGCTGGGGGCTACAGGGAGACCCTGTCTCAAAAAGACCAAAAGAAAGAAAGAAAGAAAGAAAGAAAGAAAAAAAAATCCAAGAAAGCACTTTTTTTCAATACCCTACTTGTGTAGTGTGTGCGTGCGTGTGTGTGTGTGGGGGGGGTGTCTTGTGTACAAGGGTGGAGACCAGAGGCCAACTTCCAGGGTCCTTTAAAGGAGCGCTCCACCTTTTTTTGGGGGGTGGGGGGGCGACGACACTGTCTTTTACCTGGGGCGATAGATTGGTTGGCCAGCAAGCCCCAGGGATCTGCCTGTCCCCACTCACCTCCCCAGTGCTGGTATTACAAGCATGGCCACCACATCGGGGATAGAACTCAGGTCATTGTTTTGCGTACTCTACAGACTGGGCTATCTCCCCAGCCCCTACCCGCTCTGTATCGATCTTTTTTCCATATGCATCCTCGGGGTCGATGCTTTACAATCCTTAGACTGAAGAATGTGGCTCAGTAATGAGGTGAGCTTCATAGGCGGGAGGCTCCGAGTTCAAGCACAGCTGAGCACTCGGTTCAGCAAGGAAAGGTGCTGGTCCTCAAGCCCCACGACCTGATCCTGTTCCTAGGATCCACAGTGTGGAATGAGAGCACTGAGTCCCACTAGTTGTTCCCTGACCTCCACGTGAGCGCTGTCGCCCGCACGCACACCTGCGTACAACACACGAATCAATACACGTTTTTAAAGTTTTAACAAAAGTCAAACCGGAGAAAACTAGGGACCCCCAGGGACAGCCCCGCCCGCGCGCACCCGGAAAGCGCAGCAGCTCCGCCCGGTGGCCTGCGGCGCACAGCGCGGCCACCAGCCTGCGGCCCTGGGTGGTCTTGCCCGCGCGGTCCACGCCCTCCAGCACGATGAGCGCCCCGCGCCGCCCGGCCATGGCGTCTGCACAGCTCCGTGCCCGGCCGGCCCGCCACACCAAGGGCGGGAGTGCGCCTGCGCCTGCGCCTGCGCCTGGGCCTGGGCCTGGGCCGCACGGCCTCTTCCGGCTGAGAGTGGGGGCGGCGGGCGACGGTTCCCAGCCCTGAGGGGCTACGCGCAGAGCCCGTCCTATCGCCGCAGTTCCTTCCCGGACCTGCCCCGCGGAGCTTTGCGCGCAGAGTCCTAACTGTGCTGCTCTTAGGGTTCGGGGTTCTGCAGACTCTTCACGTGGCAAGTCTAGAAAAGCAGCGGAATCTGGTTTCGCTGTGTTGCCAGCGCTCAGCCGCCGGCCTCTAAGTCGGTTACCAGGACGGAGCTTGCCTCGTCTGCTCTGAAGGCGGCCGTGAAGAGCATGCACCGCCTCCCCCAAGATGAGCCGCCAGCACCCCACGACGCGGGAATGCGTGCTGCCGGTTTAGTGTTGCAGGGGCTCTCCTAAAACCCGGGGACAAAAATTGGTGGAAGAAAACGGATTTATTTACAGCACTGGACAAAACAGAGAAATGCTCGCCCTCTTCTGCCTTGCTAGGAACAGACTTAGAATTTGTAGAAAAGGTTAGACCAAAGTTGGGAAATAGATGTATTTACAGATTTAGCTGTGAGCAAATTTACCGGAACTGGAAAGTAATCCATCTCCTGGGAGATCCTATATGCCTCTGGCTTCTTTGTAGTGGCCCATCCTCACCCCTAGCATGGAATTTACTAGAGAAAGGATCATTCTTAACGCGCCTTTTACACGGGACACTGGCTGCTAGGACACCCTGTAGGTGAAGCTTTTACCGACCGTGTGCCAGCTTCTTGTGGTCAGCTAGCACAACTTGTAGGAATTGGTTCTCTTCCATCATGTGGGTCTTGGGGATCTAACAGGACATCGGCCTTGGTGGCAAGTCCCTTTACCCCCTGAGCAGTCTCCCCTTCTTATTTTTTTCTTTGTGATGTTGAGGGTTGAACCCAGGGCCTCACAAATGCAATTTACGACTGACCCAAATCCCCAGGCTTTCTTTACATTTTTTACTTTGAAATAGGGTCTCACTAAGTTGCCCAGGCTGACCTTGAACTAGCTATTTAGCCTGGGCTGGTCTTGGAACTTGAAATCCAGCTGCAGCTTCCCAAGTAGCAAAGATTGCAGGTGCATGCTATCACATCATACTAATGAAGTTTTTTACTTATTTTGGTGTTGAGGAGTGAACCCAGGGTCTTCTGCGTGCCAGGCTGTGCTCCACCACTGTCCTGTATTCCTTTTTTAAAGTTTTTAAAATTTTTAATGAATTGGTGCTGGAGAGAAGACTGAATGGTTAAAAGTGAGTACTGCTTATTTATTTTATTTATTTATTTATTTATTTATTTATTTATTTATTTATT